TTAAATGGTCCTGGACTTGAACGTTGAATATGTTTAAATATGTTTTACTTTTGTTATGTAATAAAGAAGACTATGTGCTCTAACTTGGTATGGGCTTCTTTTGAATAGTTTTCACGTTCTCACAGTGCCTACTTAGACCCATTTTTCGGTGTGAACAAAAATTGAATATCAACATCGGTAATACTGATTATCAGTGATATCAGAAATCTTAATATCGGATATATGATATCGGCCAAAAATTTTAATATCATGCATCACTACTTAATACCAGTGTTCCTACTCACTTAGTCAGGGCTGTAATTTACCAGATGTTAAAAATAAAAGTTAATGTTTTGATTTTAATCCAAAAAAAAAAAAAAAAACTATAATGAATTATTTTGTGGACCAACAAGTTTGACTGAGACTAAGTTGAAGCTATTACATGCTGTTCCTCCGAATAACTTTAAAACTGTACATATTTTATATACTGACTGTAGTACGAAAGCAGTAAGTTTGCTGAGATAAATGTGACATCTGACACCCTCCATACTGTAAATAGCTCAGTTGTAACAGCCACTCAACAAAAACAAGGTCTGACACGAATGATGTCATCCCTTCCTGTTCTGGGAATGAATGGGAAACTGTGGAGCTGAACCAGTTATATTCATTTGCCTGTCAAAGTAACTTCCGTGTTTCCTTTTGAATGTGAAAGTTAGAGCGCCACGGCAGCCCAACCACAGGAGCGTCCGTTGTGTTTGGTTTGGGGAACATAAAGAGGTCTTGTGTGGAAGAAGGCGAGGAAGGGAGGAGGTGGTGCTCAACAAAGGAATGGAGAGATTAAGGCAACTGTGCACAAAATTACTATTTGGAAGCTTTTGATAAATGCAATTACAAAAAAGAGGTTATTGGTTCCCCCAGAAAAAAAAAAAGTCATTAAGACCATCAAGAAAAAAATTCCAGGAGCATAAATTAAATGTCAGCATTTCTGCCGTCTAATTTTCACAAAGATTCCTAATCACAGAGGAACACATTGACACCAAATTTGTGAACATGAAAGTCAAATGTTACCGCTTCATTCTAAAATGTGCTCAACAGCTGAATAAATAAAACACGACAGTAGGAAAATAAGTTCTCAAACAAGCCAATCTTACCTTTGTTGAAATGAACGTGAGAAAAGCAGCTTTATTGGCTTAATTCCACAGCCACAGTGCAGCCTAATTACAATGGATCGCAGGGAGTTTGTAAATCAAAACACACGCAGGAGTTTGAGCTGAATTTAAAAGAGGCTTCCTTTTAAACACGTTTATCAATTACTCTGCGCGTGGCCCTAACTAGAGTAAGCAAAATTATAAATCAAGTCTAATTTATGCTTTGCAATAGCAGCTACTGCGGAGTGTGGGCTCGGCTGGAGAAAATGATTAATGTCTGAAGGGTCTTGGATTAAAAATGATATGACGTGTGCTATAAAATACACGCAATTTCATATTTCAGGACACTCTGTCCTCCCTTTACACTTTCATTTATAGCATGTGTTGTGGCAGAGTGACGGCAACGATAATTTGATTAAGTACATCGTTTGTTATGACTTGTCCTAAACTCCGCTCATATCTCAATCATGATATCTGACAGAAAGGAAAAAGCCTCACTATGCCCTCAGTTATCATAAAAAGTCAATAAAGCACAAGAAAGCCCTTCTCTCAACATACAGTAATCAATCTTGCCCCATGAATACAGAGCTCTGGTTCCCCCTGCCAGCAGCTAACATAAATGAAATGTGAAAAATGACTGGATCTGCCGTTTAAAAAGTAACACTGGACACAAATCTATGGCCATGTGAACTATTATTTACAAATCTTTGCAGAGAAAAAAAAAAAAAAAAGTACAAAGGATTTCTAACTGTTACTGCCAGCACAGTTCTGCCAAGAGATTGTCTCACATGCGGGACACAAGCACACATCAATACACTGTGCTGCCAAGTAACACAGAAAGGTCTCAAAGTCCTCACTGTGCTCTGTTACAAGAGCAGTCAATGCAGGAGCCTCTCCGACCACGCATGCACACAGCACAGAGTCACCCTGCAGACACAGCTCCAAACACGGCTGTATTTGCTTTCCTACCTGTAGCCCTCGTCTCCTCAGAATGCTGGACTCGTCCATGGTACAGAGCCCCGACTTATCATGCCTCCTCACCGGTGCAGAGCCATGCTGCACTGCCTCGCTCCTGCCTCCTGCTCCCTCCCTCCCTCAGGCTAAATCTGATCTTAGCAGCTGCTAAACACTTCCATCAGAACTTATCTGATTGGAGGGGGGCAGTCAGCTGACGCCTCCTCTTGTTCCTCTCCTCTGTAACTTCAGGAGTGAAGGAGAGAGATGGAACGGGGGAGAGCGAGAGCGAGAAGATAGGCAGTTCTAATTTAGCGTAGCAACGGGTGGGGATGAATGGGAGGTGTGGTGGGGGGGAGCCGGGGACAAGTGGGAGCCCCAAGACTCATTTCTCTGAGCAGCCACGCTTTTTGGACACCCTAGATGACCATGAAAATGAGAGGATATCCTTTCCAGCATTGTTCTGCTCCAACCTCAACAATGAATCTGGCATCCTGTCTGCGGCAGGCAGAGCTAACAGACCTCAGTGGTCTTATTGCAGTCAATGAGTCACATGAAGACTACAAAATACGCTCCTGAAGGTTGGGCCACTGACAGAAATGTGATGGCTGAGACTCCAAAAAAAAAAAAAAAAGTGTAGGAGAATGGGAGAGAAATGCATTGCATACAGAAGCAAAAGAAAAAAAAAAAAAAAAAGGAAAATAGCAAGACTTGCCGTTAATATATAAACTGTTGTTACTCAAGACCTTTCAAACCTGCTGTGAAAATGTCACATGAGCTGTCGTGAGCCAATTTATACGTAGGAGACGCTTCCCTCATTCCAAACACCGCGACCCTGAACCTTTATCGTGCTGAAATCAACCAGCACAACCTGTTATGTATATCCTGTGTCAATTTCCAACAATTTCATGCACCGCTACAGCGCCACAGAAATGAGTTTTGAGGCGATCCACAGATCTTCACACTTACTAACTCAATGTCCCCACACCACATGAATTATTAGCATTTGTAAAATAAGTTGTTTCCATGTGCCATGCTGCCAATTCCATCCTGCAATTTCGCATTCTGTTTCAGTCTGTGTTTTTCTTTGCCCCCCCCCCACCCTCCACCCCCTTCTCTTTTTTCACCCTCTCTCACTCATTTCCATTCACTGTGGTACTGCTCTGTGAATATTAAGTGGGCCCCTTCCATTCTCCTCATCTCCAACCAAGCTCAAATGATTTCTCCTGCTAACCGCTACTACGGCTGGTGGAGGAGGTGTGCACGATTGTCAGACAGGTGACCGCTACATCAACTTCTCTCATTTTGAAACCTGTACAACAAAAAGCTGATGGAGGGTTGCAGTGGCTGGGGCCACAGCCATTTGTGTTGCTGTGCTGATAAGAGGGCTGAGAGGAGAAAGCCCAGGTCTGTGCTCGGGTAATCTGGCTGTTTTTGAATAAACCCCTTAAAACCTCAGAGGACAAGGATTACAGTAGTCAACTTTTTCAGCTTGAACAATGCCCTCCAGATTACCTGAGGGAATTAAAGAATCCTGTTATGTTCTACTGACTGGTCTCGAGCCACTGCTCCGTCTGTGGCTGCTTAAAGAACAATTAAGAAAATTCCGCACCGGACAGACAATGAAGATGAAGAGCTGCAGAAACACAAGGGAGGCGTCATTTGTCTTCTTTAATACAGAAAGTCCCCATTTCTCTATGGTGCACTGTGGTTGTAACAAGCACCACAGCTAATGTTAAAACAATGAGTGGAGTAATTGATTAGCTGAAAGACAATCAATTGGAAACAATTACGGTTGTCACATAATTGTCTAAATCATTTATCCAGCAAAAGCACCACACATCTACTGACTCAAGAAGTAATCGAAAATTAATCACAATTTTCGTTTCTCACAAATAAAGGAACATGATCAAGTCCAACACTGACGTTTTAAAATGTGAGTTCTGCTTTAAACTTGGATTTGATCAACCAAAGGGGGACATCATTGGAACATTGAATATCCAGTGATTCATCTTATGCTGCCAGGTTTTTGCCATTCAGAAGTCTTATTAATCAAAATAATTATGCAACATAACCCTACTAAATAGTTCTCTTGAGTAGGGGGAAAACACAAAGGGATTTACTGACATTTTATATAGCAGAAATAATTAGGAGTGATGAGTATTTCCTCGATTCATCAATTTATTACTTTGTTTATAAAATGTCAACAACTCGTAAAAGATGTCTGAAATAATATCCCACAACCTAAAGTGATGCATCCAGTTTGCTTCTGTTTTAAGAAAAACAGTCCGAACACAAATATGTTCAGCTGGACAACAAGGAGAAAAGATCCTCACAATTCAGAAGCCAGAACAGTGAATGTTTAGAATTTTATTATTTATTATAATTAGAAATAGAATTTTTATTAGAACTTTTCTATCAGTTATTTCAGTAATCTATCCATTGCTGTACCTGACAGTTCAGCATATATAAAATATATATTTGACCAACGCCAAAGGAAATGACCAGCTGTGAAATAATGAAAACTGAGAATAGACATAAAGTTTTGTTTACTCAAGCATAACTACCACTTTTTTTGGTAGATTTCTATGAAATAAGGTAGCACAGACTCATTAGCTTTAGTGTACATGGGCTAATGAAGCTTACTTTTATGCCTTGTTGCCCCCAAAGGTCCATTCTGAGCAGAAAAAAACCCTGAAATGATCAGAAGCACTTAGCTGTTTAAACTTTCATTGTTGGAAAAAAAAATAAAAAATAAAAAACTGTTTTTAGAGAGATGTTTTTAGAAAGAAAACAGACAGCATAGAGCTGCTTTGAGGTGGGTTTTGGGGCAGCCATGAAGGCAGACAGTTTGAGCCAATGGCCTTGGAGCTGGGCCACAGAAAAGCCTCTGGGAAAAGTCCAGGGGTTGTCTGTGACTCATTTCCTCCTGGCAGGTGGGCAGCTGAGGTTGTTTCCACAGCCTTTGGAGAAAAAAGGGAGCGCTGGAACAGAAAGCATGCAGAGAGTGTTGATTGAGTGACCCACAGCCTCTGCTCTGCCTGAGCTTATCAGACCAAGAGGTAACCTGCAGATGTGAGGCAGGCAGAGGAGGGACACGGCCTGTGAAGAGAGCAGTAAGGAAAGAAAGAGTCAATTCCCTCCATACAAAGCAGTGCAAAAATCCATCTATCCAAAGCCAAAGGAGTGAGAATATCCATCCATGATAAAGCCCTGTAGAGCCAACCTCCCAACGGACGAGGCCAGTCTTAAACCTTGACAACAAGTGCAAAGATAGTAACGGAGAAGGACCAATAGCTGCAACGCATCACTCTCAACTCCTCTCTGGTTTTGAGTAAATTGGAGCAGGCATGTAAATATATGCATTCATAAGATGAAAATGATGTGAGCTTGAGTCCACTTGGAAAATCCACAAGGCTTTCTTCTCAATTCATTTTTGTCAGTCTCAAAGAAACACAAAGTCACTTTGTGCATAACACTGCCACATTTGAATTTCACAACAGAGAAAATTGTATCTCAAACAGAGCAGATGACAGGGGTTGAATGTCTCAGCTGCAACTACTTCATCTAGAGTGACAGTTTCATTTATATCACACCCAGATGTTTGCAGTAACACGCTGCACGGTTTGTAATTTGTGGATGTGTGGGGTCAATGTATTCCCACAGATATTCTGTGAAACATAAACAGGGCACGTGAAAAAAAAAACAGAGATGAAAGCAGCGCATGAACACGACACGGAAAGTCTTCATGTGGTAAACTTGTATTCTTTTCCTTCGTGTTGAAAAATACCAATATACAGTCTCTTCTACCTGAATACCTCCCGCAGTGAGGGTGTTCACAGGTTATATATCTGTTTGACGGGCTAAATCATCCAAACAGACTTTCTTTTTTTGTGTGTGTGTGACATCCATCTCTGTGAGGACCAATTTGAGTTTTACACCTTTGGAGTGAGAACTGCTGCTCTGTACTTTTAAACATCCATATCTTTGTGTAATATACACAGCGGAGACTATTTACCTTGTTAAGAGGTTTGTGATATACTTGGATTTCCTTTGGAGCAGTTTGTACTACTCACTTAATAACATTCGCTTTCCTCTCATGAAAAGTTTTTTTTTTTCTTTATTGTGTTTTGGTTTCCAGTTTAACCATTTTGCTATTTAATATGTGAACATTTGTTTACATTCCATACTATCCTGCATTATCCAATGGCAGTTTGTCAAAATAAAATAAATTTAAAAAAATATATATTTTGAATATAAAAAGTCATTTTGGTTTTCAGGGAACTTAATTATTTAGATTAACTGAGTTATCGATAAAATGGTATGATGTGAACTGTTTTGCTTTCATCAAAAAATTGAATTACATACGTGGATTACGACGCAGCCGTACAATAAATACACATTTTTGGCAGGAAGCCGGTAACACTAATTACTCGTGAAATTTAAAACTCTAGAAAGATCTGCTCATGAAGTAATTAAAATATAATACCAAAACAATATGCTGCATATGCAAATTATGGGTTTACATTTAAGAAAGGTCTATGCAATCAAAGTGAAGCTCACATAGCCATACAGGCAGTGGAGGACAAAGACAGACAGCGCAGACAAACGGATCAATAAGGTGCACCTTGCCAACTTATTTTTTACTTTTTTTCTTTTGTGAGTGAGTTGCTATTGTGGCTTGATAATAGCATTTTTTTCCATTAGAGGTGGGCTTTATTAAAAATGAGACGGGTTGTTCAGTGTTGACTGAAAAATCTATGGCATTTGTGAAAAGGTTTATGGCACCACTATACGTTGTGTTTCTCCACAGACGGCAGTTCCTTCCTTTGCAAACAGAAGCTACTCCAACAACAACGATATCAGTAAAGGACATCACTGACTGACAATTACGAGGAAAAATGAGAGTCCACAAAGGCACAACATCAGGATTATGACAGTCTTATCTCCATATCACACCAGAAGTGAAGTATTGATTTTCTGCCAAAGAGCATCACAGTCAAGAGAGATGTGCCATGCTAGTCAAGGAGCCATGCACACCCAGGGGCATGATGGAGGAGCACAGAGGAGGGAGGGGGGGGAGGCAAAAAGCAATAACAGGAGTCCGGTGAGGCAAACATGAGGGTAAAACACTGCTGAAAGAAGCAGCACTTAAACCTGCAGTAAAGGTTCAGGCGAGTAGAAGGAAAGTGAGGGGTAAAAAGAAATACAGCAACATTCATGTGGTCAGATTTCTGACCCGAAGCCAATTCTTAAGGATTTTATGAAAGTTATATTAGGAGTGTCTCTTGTGAATATTCAGGAATATTTAGGATGTACTTTTGCACCTCGTCCTAAATTTAGGATATCAATAACAGACAAAACCATCTTTAAAAATAAAAGACTCAAACTATGTAAATGGTAAATGGATAGCGCTTTCTACCTCAGTGGCACTCAAAGCACTTTACACTGTTTTCTCATTCACCCATTCACACACCAATGACGACAGAGGTGCTGCCCGCCATTGGGAGCAACTTCAGGTTCACTGTTTTGCCCAAGGACACTTCAAATGTGGGGGATCGAACCACCAACCTTACGATCAGAGGACAACCGCTGTACCACCTGAGCCACAGCCGCCCTCGTCCAAACCATGAGCTTTCACCTTACAAGTTGTCATTGTTTTGAAAAAGTATCTGTCCGTACTTACACACCTGAAAATGCAACTCCAGGTCTATGAACACGCAGGAAAATGAGTTATTTTAGTCTATATGGTGAATTCTATGTGGTTGATGGGATTGTTTGAGATGCGAAGACTGCTACTAGACGATTACATCAAGAGTGCAAAAAATGAAAATAAAAAAGGCACTTGTCCTCTCCAAATGCAACTAACAGCATTAAGCCCCACACAGCAGATCTTTCAGGGACACTGAGAAGTACCTCCCCTGGAGTAAACGTTGTTTTTTTCCTTCCCTGAAAACAGCCTTGAAAGAAGTTCTACAGGCAGTTTTTGCAGAATTAACATGCACAAAGGTTAGGGACACCTTACAATCACCTGCAAGTTCCTGCAGTGGAAAACAACCTGCAGTAACTACATAATAATTTGCACGAGTCTCTATTTCAGGGGTCCTAAAACACAGGAGAAGTGCATGCTAGTTAGCAGAGGTTTCAAAATGAAAGCGTATTATTGTGGACGCAGCCCAGAGTCCACAGCCTTGCTCAAGGCTCTGTGAAGCTGCTCTTAGGCTCGGCAGGGTTTTTTTGCCGTCATAAACATGCTCAAAATAACAACGCTAACAAGCTGATGTTTTGCAGGTATAATGTTCAACATGCTCCTCATCTTAATTTAGCATGTCGGCATACTAGTATTTGGCAACTTAAAAGATACACTTACAGTGCAAGACTGAACATGCTGTTGAATATCTGCACATTTGTTTAAAAGAGAGGAGGAACATCTGTGCTAAAATTGGAGTCATTTTAGAAGAGATGTCCCTCCTACATTGTCTGAATGCACATATTACTAATTGAAGCATGTGCCAAATTCCACAGCGATTCGTCCAGCAGTTGCTGCAGTCAAACAACAAATATCATCCTGCTGCTGGTTGTAATGAAAAGCCAGAAGATCACCAAAATCCTGATCCTCTGGAGATTATAATGTTGATACAAAATGCCATGACAATCCATGTATTTAAAGTAAATCCAACAAAGACATTTACTAAAACAAACGATCATTCCGTGCTGTCATTGAGCTTCCTTGGGAGCAGGAGTCTATTTTTCAGCAGCTCACTAAATAAAAAACATTTAACCAGGAGCAGCTTTGAGAAACACATTTTCTACAGTTCATTTAACTACAGAACCCTTCTGGCTTCTTAAGCAAAAGTGTGAAAAAATGTAAAGGGAAATATGAAAATAAGAGCAGAATTAAGCTTTATGTTCTCCTGGAAGCCTTTGCAATCCATCATTTTAAAATATTGTCAATTTTGCTAGCCTTTCTTTAAAAATAATAATAAAAACGTCACACAGCTTGCGCCTTAACCGACTACATTTCAGAGCTGCCCATTTGAAACTGAATGAGGAGTAAACCAAATCCAACAGCCAATTACAGTAAATCTATTCAGACATGAATACAGCCGCCAAATCTGACTGGTTAGAAGTGACAACAATAACATGCTGTAACACAGTCTGCATGCTGGCAGACCTCCATTCAGTCATAGTCACTGAGGCCAGGCGCTGGTGTGCTTCCCAGTCATATAGCCATCATTATGACAAATGCCAGCTCGCCTGTACAAGTGACAGGCATCATCTTTCCTTGTTTAAGTACACGGTTGATGATGACGCCTGGATTTTATAGTACAAAATAATCCCTCCAAAACAGAAAGCAATTTTCAAACCAATAATTAAAACTCTAAAAGGGAAAACAAAGAAAAGCATCACGTTTCATTCAGCGGCTGGAAACTGTGGTGCTCGTCTCTTTTGCTCCCCTCCCAAGGTCAGCCAATTCACCATCCGTTCTGAGCTCATTCTGAAGGCGGGATAATACGGTGGCTGTGGACGAACCCCTGAGGTGTCGGTGCAGCCGACTCCAAAAGATACCATTAAGATGTAGCAACGCATCAGCCATTCAGCCTGTGTCTACAAGACAGTATCTGAGCAGCAGTCACAAACACTTCATTTTCTCATGGTGTTGACCACAGAGTCACCGGGGACATGCAAATATGGTTAAGAATAAGAATAGGCAGATGATTACATTAGAGTTGCAGCCTGAGGAAACGTCAAGCTGATATCCTGTCGTGTATTGTATACATAAGAAAGACCGGTGGGCTGTTAGGAGGCACTTTATTCAATGAAAATTCTATGTTAGAAATGGTGAGTTAGAAAATAGCGCTCTGGTTTAACACAGTTATTAAAATATTCGTCTGAACTTGAACATTTTAGGATTGAAAGCTTTAATTACCCCTCTTAACCCCCAAAACCTACCAGCAGGTTCAAAATAGTTTATTTTATTTATTTATTTTTCTTCTTTTAAACAATCACCAAACTTCTGCAACTTTTTGGCTGAACTGCAGGCTGTGTTTACATGACTCGTAGAGAAGGAAGTATGGAAAAAAAATAAAAATGTTTTGTAGAGGCATTTGAAATATGTTGCAATTGTCAGTTTTTTTCCAATTTTGACAAATAAACAAGCTAAGAAATTCAACGTTAGTATTTCTTTTCTCTTCTTTTACTATTAGGGAAATGTAAGCGTGACATATTGCACAAATGCATATCTGAGTTCTTTATGCTTCTAGCCATGTCTGTGTTGTTTCCATACAAGCGCAGGACTTTATATTGCAGTGAAAAAATGTGCCCACAGTAAGTAAAAATATAACAGGAGCAAAGAAACACCTAAAAGCTGTTTGGGGTTCAGAGAGTGAATCGGTAAACATGAAATCTCCATTTTATTTCATGATATTGTGCAAATAAACCTGAAACATTACAACTGTGTCGTAGTCGTTCTGTGCAAAACACTTTGACAATGACATCATGAAGTCTGTAGTAGACTGATTACTGGACGTATAACAAGTAAAATTGACAACATTCCTTAATATTCCCAATGATGGATGCACCCCTCACTGAACTGTTCAGTCCAGTCTCCTACAAAGTCTGTTCGTCAGAGACTGATGTTTATGTAGCGTACAGAAGTCATGGGGAACAGGATGTGGTGGATGTTTTGCGTATAAAGCACACGGCTTTGACACCAGATGCCAGGATTTGCATCCAGATTCCCGTCTATGGTTAGATTTAGGCAGCAAAACTGTGTTTGATTACAGGTTGGAAAGATGGTAGTTTTCATTAAATGTTAATAAACATTTAATCTGTAAAATATTAGAAAAAGTTACTTTGCAATATTTGATTTTTTACGGGATATATATTGGGAAAAAAATAAAACAGGAAAGGACTATTTGGGAATGCATCTGCGTTAACTGATGTTGCGTGTCTTTTTTAAACTTCCTTGTCAGTGTTTCTCTCCTCTTCGTCCCTCATTTGCTGCACAAACAAGGAAGCTACACGTCACTCTGCAACTTGTGAACAAAGTTTGAAAATACCTTTGCATAGCCCTAATAAACATGCGTCTATTGCCAGAAGTTTCGCAGACTGTTTCTGTCTGTCTTTCACTAACTGTAGTCCTGTGAGTGCCTAAACATAGCAAAAAGTTCAATCATGCTACAGTTGCTCCCAGCGGATACTGTTTTGTAGTGCCTAACTAGAATCCCACATGGGCGCTCTCTGGCCCTCACTGTTCTCCCCCAGCAGCAGGTTGAATTTCAACCATGTACCTGTGCTCTCTTTTACAGAGACTGATGAAAAAAATGTATTTGAGGCTCCTGGGACCTCATGATCTCACAGACTCACCTGTGAGGCAACTGCTCAGTCCTCTCCATTAACTTTTCACTTAATCTGCACTCCGATATCCACAACTCAACTTTTACATAAAATAATGCAAACAGTCCTCTGCCTCTATCACAGTTTATTCTTTCTTTTGCAGGTGGAGAAATTGTGACAGTCTAACGTCTTTCCTGCTGCAGTGTTCTTAAGCAAATATCTGATCTCCTGCCCCAACCTTTCTGTGATGTTTGTCAGAGAATAAAGCATATCTTAGAATTCTGGCAAAGTCAGTGGTGTTAAAGATTCTCTCAGGTCATCAAGCTGTAAAACTTAAATTGAATCAACACCAGAGCTGAAGGACTTAACCACTGGAGGACAATTATGTTAAAGCAAATCATGTGGCCATTCACACTGCAGGGCACAAGAACCAAAGGGATTAATTTGTGCCTAATACAAGCACAGGGAGGCATGTGTTTAGGTTCTGACTACTGAAAAGGCTCTAGCGCCCCCAAGTGTAGGGAATTAGTCCAGATATTACTGTAGTGTATGAGACTAAATGAATTTGATATACACATTAAAGCAGCAGACAATTTATGGTCTGAGTTTAAGTAGCTGCAATGCTATAAGGGTACTTTTCATAAATTCTGCATCTCTGAATCAGTCACCACGATGACGTACTGTCGCAGCAGCATTATGTAAACAGTGTAATCAGGTTCACCATGATGTCATGAATCATGTGAAAAACAGCTAGACCCCTTCTAGTTTAGGTTACAGTGCCTTTTTCTAGGCCGGCCCACACAGATCACTGAGGATGGAAGTGTCAGTTAGCCAACACATTCTCTCACAGTTACTCTGAAAGCACCCACATATCTATTTGTGTGCACACACAAACACAAACCTCACATGCTTTTTATTACATTAACCTTCTCTAAAAACCGATACCGAGCGAGCAGGGAATGACTCATAGCTTAACAGCATTGGATTAGCCTCTGCTTTTGATTGCATCTCACTCCTGAGACAATAAGATCACGATGGAGCACACGGTATCTGTCAATCTGAAAGAACTGAGCAAAACCACACTGAAGGTCATTTCTGTCCTTGTGACAGAGTCTGGTTCAGCGCAGAAATGCGCTTGGACCTCTACAAAACAGGTCATTTTATTTTTTTATTCGTTGTCTGTTTTAATAATTTCTACTTTCAATTTTTAAGCACTTCGATTTGTAATCATGCAAGAATTTAAAATGGTCTTTCTGAAAATAGCCAATTATCCTTGATAAGTGTGAACACCGGTGTTACACGGCCTGTCATGTTTTGTATCTACAGAAATATTTATAGAACATTTTTTAACAGGTTTTTACCTAAAGGCAGAAGTGCCAGATAAGAGACATTCATTAACCCTCTGATCCTCAAGCAGTTCCTGCCTGCTTTTTGTTCCTGTCACATTTCCATTTACTGTAGGCTTATTTTTTTGTACTAAATATATAAAGTTTTGCACCTCTATGGAAACAGCCCAACCATGACTAGACGTAAAAGAGAGGAAGCAAACATGCCTCTTGATCAGTAAGACAAAGCTATAAACCATTAATCATTAAGAAAGAGAAAAAAAACTCAATTTGAATTTCTTTTAAAAATATTATTAAAACCTGGAGTTCATATCTGCAACGTTTTCCCAACATCACACAGATGTTACCAACACTGGAAAATACTGGTCAATCTTCATACTATATTTAATGTACTCCTTACATTTTTTTTTGATTTCTTTCCACACTTGTCTCCTGTCTGCTCTTTGGAAACACAGCCTGCAGTTCAGCCTATGGACTTTTGTCACATGACTGTTGGTCATACAAACAGCTTCAGGTTGTTGCTGTTTAAACCAGAAATGTCCCATTAAGTGACTTTAATGTACCGTAATTTCCAGACTATACGCAGCTACTTTTTACGCACGCTTTGAACACTGCGGTCTAAACAATGATGCGTCTAATTTATGGATTTTTACAAATTTGCCGCAAGACAAAAGTAACATTGAGAGCAACAACGAAAGAGAGACTGAGGAAGTGTGAGATGAAACAATTCTGAGGCTGTTCAATTCTGACACTGAAGAAGACGACTTTAGTGGTTTTGTGAGCAGGAGGAAGATGAAGATAGCGATCAATGACTTTTCCTGGTAGGCTATTGTATTTTTTTTTTTTTTTACCAGCCGTGTTACAGGCCCTGTTCGGAAAAAAGCATTTAGGGTACATATTTGTGTCTGTCACCGGTACGTATTTAATTAAAAGCTGTGTAACATCTTTCTGTGTTAATATCTCAGTTACAACTTGGACACCTGCAGCTTACTGACAAGTACAGCCTATATATGTACAAATTTGTTTTTCTTTTTAAAGTTAGTGGGTGCAGCTTATATTCAGGTGCCCTCAATAGTCCGAAAATTACGTTAATATTTTAAATTTAAACTTAGACTTGATCCATTTTCACTTTAGAACCGCATGTTACACTTGATTAGTTCAAGAATCATTTGAAAGCTGTGAATNTTGATTAGTTCAAGAATCATTTGAAAGCTGTGAATCTGGCTCTGATAAATGGTGCTACTTTGGTGCTATTTCAAAGATAACATTCCTTTCAGTCCCACCAGCAGGTCTTTGGGTGTGGGGACCAATTTCAAATAGTCTTTCTGAATACAGTAAAATATCTTTGACAAATGTGAACACTGATGTGGCATGGCTTGGCATGTTTTATCCCCATAGAAATAAAGTAATTACAAAACACAACCGCCAGCACTGACAGATAAGATCCATTAACAAAACATACTGGTCATTCATTATTCAGTTACTGCAGAGACTACACAGCATGAGCCAGTGGATGCAGCAGATTGGTCTGAATATATATGTGCATGATTGATTTAACTTATTTATATGTTGATGAACTTGTGCTATAAAATACATTTTTTATTTTTTTTTAATTAACTATATGTTTGTATTATGATCTCAATGATCAATAAACTAACAATCTAACTAGTAGTTTGCTCGCTTTAGTATTAACAGCCATAGTGTTTGATTATTGTTATTTGGTTATTTCATCTACAATTGTTCAATTAAATCAGAAAACTTCCCAGAATTGTCCTGACCTTGCAGAGGCTTCATGTGTAATTCAGAAACTGTTTCACTATAATGAGCTGATGTGCTTGGTGTCATTTTTCAAAAATTTTCAAGAAAAATTTGGCACAATTAGAATATTATTGTAACTAATGCCTAGTCCCTTGATTTGTTTTTCATTTTTTTAAGCAATTTCAGCATTGCCACAGATACATTTTATATTCCACCAAAATGCAAAATTTAGGTTCAAATAACCTTTAATACTTTTTTCAACAGTAGTTTACGTTAAGTCTTTTTAACAATGCACACTGTACTTAAAGTAGGATTTAAGTAGGGTTGGTTCATAGAAATATCTAATGAAAAGAATACGTACACGTACTGTATTTAAGTATGTTACATTTATTTCACATTCATTTAAATCCTTTTGTGGAAAATGATCTGTCAGGAAAAGTCCCATATTATTAAACGTAGGTGGTTATGTGAAATTCACATCTAGCTTCTTTTATTTTGATCAAACTCTGAGATGATTATGTCTCTACCTGGGTGCATGATATCGCAGTGTTGTAAAAGTTAGGAATTACTCACCGGGCTGGAGGTGAGCGAAGGGTCCGACTTTCCAAGATTCAGCGAACGCATGCGGACCAGGTTGGAGTTCTCAGATGACGGCTGCCATGCTGTCTGGGCCTGCTGGAGGTTGGTGGGCAGCAGGAGGTACTTTCCTGCAGAAAAACAGTAAAAACACAAAACAGTGTTAAAAAAAAAATAAAAGCACTGGTTTGACTAGCAATGTGTTTCAGTAATGTTTTTAGACTTTTAATGGACTTTTTTTCAGTTTACTTAATGGAAATACATTTTCAAGGTGAAATTTGAGGCGAAATGATTCATTCTTTTGATACAAACTTGAAAGATTACGGGATGTGCAATGGACGAACAGTCGGGGCACGTACCACATGGCACAAGTTGCTCATTCGACTACCAGCTGGGGAGCATTTGCTGCATGTCATTACATACTTTGAAATAAAGACATACACATAAAGACATCTTTTCTTTAAACAATAATCATGACATGACTTCAAAGATTTCTCCTTGCTGCCTGTTGAAGGTAGTGGAGAGTCACCATGAAACGCCAAATTGTGTAAAAGTAGTTCGAACAAGCTCCATCTAAACCACCTGAATCAGTTTTACCGATCAAACGATGAGGTACACAATAATATATCAGTCACTTTTCAGCATTGTAAGTATTTTAACTTGTAATACATGAACCCTCTCAATGTCAAAACCTGGTGGCAGGTTTGAAAGGCATGTTATCTTTAAAAGAATAATAATACTAAATTACACAAATTATCAGCAAGAAACTGTACAAACAGAAAGGATCACTAGAATTTCAAACATTTACCTGTAATGCATTGCTTCATTAGGAAAACTCTAAGTTTAAAAACGTGATATTTTATCAAATTCCCTTTATTCTACATGCCTTGTCTAAAAATGTAGGAAAAATAAACCATTGACTGAATCAGTCAAAGAATCCTGCACTCTTCAGTGCGACTGGGAAGCCACCAGTGACTCACTTGCAACCAGTCACATGAGAAAAACTGAGTTTGAGAAAAGACGAGTTTTTGGCTGAACTGGGCTGAACTGCAGGCTGTGTTTCCACAGAGCAGAGAGGAGACAAGTGTGGAAACAAATTAAAAAATCCAAACAGTTCAATGTAGATAGCATGTAGAGCCACCGCTCTTTCCCCTCGATTTGTTAGCACTATTAGCTACTTGGAAAAATGCTGTACATTCCAGGGTTTTTCAATTTTTGTCAAATAAATAATCGACAAACAACTAGATTTTGATTGTTTTTTCCCCCCCCATTTTTAATTGTTAGGGTTACAAAAAACATATTTGAGTTCTCTCTACTTCTACTATGGTTGTGTTTTTTCAGTAGAAAAATGAGCCCACAGACAGTAAACCGTGACCAGAGCAGAGAACGCCAAGAAACTGGTTTGGGTTCAGACGGTTAAGTACATACTACATGCATACATAGTACTTATGTAATTTGACGTAGGTAGGAGTTTGACAGCAGTCCTTTCATATACTAAACATATATATATTTTTACATTCATGTGATGGTACTTTTATGTAAGTTGTTAACAAGCTTTGAAGCACAACTGTGAATTCAAACTACTGAGTGTCATAACAGCCTCTCAGTCAGCAAACACAGGGAGCCAGTGTTGAGACAGTTGAGGTCAATTGACATACCAGTAACATGAGAAAATCCAAGCTGTCTGCTCTCGTTAGGAGTGTTAAGTTGAAGCTCCTCACACTGTGCAGCCAGGCAGGATGTCAAAGGGTTAAACTGGGCCAGAAGGGGGGAAAAGCCCATTAAGAGATCACTGACAATCCTGACGTTACATAACCACAGCAGCACACTCTGCTGTAAGGAAGCACACGGGTGCACCTACAGGTTTTAATAACAACAGGAGATTTATATAAGAATATTTAATGCAAAAATCCACTTCTGTCTCCCAGAGCTGGCAGCTAGATGGCACTAACCGCTGCTTCTACTATTCATCACCTTTTATCTGCCCTTTAATATCTGTAAACCTCAACACACAAAGGCAGAGAAAAGATTAAAACATAAACAGCCTCTGTATCTGAATTTTACTGTCCCGCTTGCTGTCCATGAATTGAAAAATTATCTGTAAACATCGTTTTTCATCTACATGATGTGTATGTTTCTGTCACCTGTATCAGTAAACACACCAGGACAAACTGTGGAGGGTTCACTGTTCTGTCATTGAGAAGGAAGGAAAGATAAGGAGGCTGTGCTCAAAACAGAAAAAGGATATCTCAAGTTCATGTGGTCTGAAGCATTTACCTCCTTTTATCAGATATGTGGAGCCTTGATAAGCTGCAGAAGGCAGCTTTATAAATTCACTGACCTGCCAACAGAAACTCAACTGTGCAAAGACAAATTTCAAACATCATGCTGTTTCAGACTCATGTTAGTCTATCATCAATGCATTTTGCTGACAGTGGATGATTTAAAAAGGATGGTGGTGACAAAGCCAGTCTACTTAACCTATACAGTATTTTACATGGGCCCTTTCACTGCGCCAGTATGTTCTAGCTTCGATGTAAACGGTTACTTTGGGTGTTTCGTTATGTAAAGTGTCCGTCCCATCAGTGTGACTTCCAGTTAACATGAAATCAACAACAAAAAACATTTAGAAGTTTTGTTCAGTTTAGAGTTGTTTCGATCGGCAATAACTGGTCAACTGATTGTTCGATATTAGTCGAATTACAATAACCATCCTATCCAGAATTGACCGTTGACTTTCAGGACATAAAATGTCATCACTTCATTATTTTATTCTCTTAGGCATTTGTCTGTAATTGTACCATATTTAGTATATTAATTCAGTTATGCGACAACCAAAGACAAATAAGTTCATCTCAGAGTCAAAGTAAATGTTTGTGGTAAATTCCCTTCATGCATTTCTATTATATTGTTCCTGGAAAAGACATGAGTCACAGTAGTCTTGACCTTTGATAACCAAAATCAGTTCATCCTGAGTCCAAGTGCCTCCCTGCCCACTTCCACTCAGTCTGCTTGTTGTTGAACGGAGCGTTCGCCACATTAAGTGTCATTCCAGACCAACTAACAGGGGAAGTGGCTCATAAAACCCTCCGACAGCAAGTCTGCATCGATGCCGACTTACTTAAAATAATGGAATGCCGTAATTACACTATTTTGTAATGTAATGGAAAACACTCAATGAAATGTACGACTGTGTGTAAGTTACTTGTTCATATATATTTATAAAAATCCAACAGCTTAACAGAATCAAACCAGAAAATGGCCCAAAATGCTCCCCCAACAGTAACAATTAAACACTTAATAGCTGCAGCAGTTTTCATATGTAATTTTAAAAAAAAACCTGTTATGAATTTAGCAATTATCCATAAAACATACTTTGTTCTACAACATTGTCAAAGTGTCTGAAAACACGTAACAATTGAAGCCTGTTTGTATTGATACAAGTATTGATTGCAATAAGGCAATACGCTTTGCATTAAAAGCATTTTATCTGATGTGCAATTAAAAAACATTATTCCTCCTAAACAATTATCAAATGTCCATTTATTTTAAAGACTAACTGATCAAATAAGTATTTCTATTTCATTTACCATCAAATATCTGCACATTAAATTACTGTTGAACATTTTCAAAGCATTGCATTGTGCTTCAGATCTCTGAATGTCTTTTCCTGCCATTTACCAGCTTCCCTGTAGATCTCACTGTGAAGGTCAATCTGCTGACTTCATACTTTCCTTACAGTAGATACAGCGTCACGTTGAGTTTTGATGTTGTTAAACAATAAAGATACTGAGCCTCACATCACCGTTATCTTATCTGGCGATTTTTATCTGAATTAAAACGCTCTGTTTATTTGTCTTGTGTTCTTTCTCACAACTTCTTTCTTGCACGTGTACATCACAGAAATGCAATAACATCTCATGAAAAAGTTATCTGAGCTACTGTTTTGTAGTTTCAGTTTTCATTTCCACTGCAGACAAATGATGATAATTAGTTTTGGGCCTAAGCCAGACAACCTCAACGTGATAAATAATTCTATTTGCACATTTCTGCCTGCTCTGCTGCAGCTATCCTCAAAGTTGCACTGTGATCACTGCAGTGAAACCAAGAGAAGTGAAGGGAGACCAAACAGGATGTGGAGGGAAAACTGAGGTCCTTCCTTCCTTACCGGCAAACGTTTTCATCACTAGAGCCCATCACATCCCAGCATAAAGGAAATCTTTCGTCACACATTAGTCAACACTTTTAGAAAGGGGGGCATCAGGAGACATGGGCAGGTTTTACATTTAGCACAGGTATTTGCAAGGTCAGTTCCCAACTTTCAGCAGATGTTACCCTGTTGCAAGCTCCCCTCTCTTACACAAATGATGAAATGAAAGGTTGTAATTTTAAAAAAATCTCCACACACACTGTGCAACTGTTTAGTGGGACATTCTGTTGAAGCATCTGCACCTGACGCATTTTTTGGCTGTTAATTGTTCCTGTCACATTTCTCACTGCAATATAAAGCCCTGCACCTCTATGGAAACAACACAACCATGACCCGAAGAAGACAGAACTCACAAATGTCTTCTAGTGCAGCATAGCAAAGTTATAATGCCACAATTTAAAAATAATAATGTCGTTTTTTTTGTTGTTTTTTTTTTTTTTTTTTTTTTTTTAATAAAGCAAAAGCAGAAATTCTTATGTTTTTCAAAAAAGTCCTAAGAGTAGAATGAACATGTCCCACAGTTGTTACCAACACTGGGGAAGAATGGCAGCTCAATATGCCAGAGACATTATAATACTTAACTCCTATCAGCTCTGTGTAAACACAGCCTGCCGTTCAGCCGAGTTCAGCCATAAAGTCCCTGAATTTTTAACTGCATGTATCTTGGTCACAACTGAGTCACTAATGGCTTCTGGGTTGTGCTGAGGATTGTAATTTTTTGTATTGATTGTAATTTTAGCAGAATTTTTAAAGGAGACACGTAAATGAAAATGATTTTTAAGAAATATCACAATTTCAAGCTTAGACTTTGTTCATCTTCCAAACGATGGCAAAAGTTATACATGACAAGTTCAAAGACTGTTGGAAAGTTGAAAAAAAGGTCATTTATAAAATGTTTTTGCAGCTTCTGGCTGAGAAACTATGTAATTTTGGTTAGTTAAAAAAAAAAAAAAGACTTAAATGCATAAATGTAAAGCTCTATCTTTCAAAGAAGGTAGTGTTTACTTTTATGTTGTCACACAATTATCCTATTACAGAGAGAGAAACACTCCTCATTCCTCAGGGGATATGAAACAGAAGCGCTCTTGTATTAAGTTTATTTAAAGGAAGTTTATTGTTGTAACATAAAGATTTGACTATATTGGCCTGCGTCATCTGGATTTTTCCTGAGGACCACAATTTGAAAGGAACAGAGCTTTATGTCCTAACCACAGAATATTAGGTCTGGAGTTATACTGCACTTTTCTGGTGCATGAGCAAGTTTATTTATAGAGCACCTAATCATACAGAGAGGTCATTCAAAGTGCTTCAGCTCCGAAGGTGTTTAAAGACATTGAAAAAACATGTAAAAGATAAAATAAAAATGCAGAAGAATAAAATGTTTAGTTTTCGAATTTTAAGTTTTATATTTGAATAATGAATCTGTCATACACAACACTAGAGCTTATGTAAAGGTATCAGCAGAAGTTTGCACAAAGCACTAATGTGCTCGCTGTAAATAAAAACTAGCTACAGGCTTAGAACATATTCAGCAACTGGAAGAAACTCAATCTCTAAGAAACAAAGACATCGCACTCATATTGATTTAACGGCACAATCAATTCAGTCAGAGCTGACGTGCTTTAGGTTAATGCTTATTTATCCATCATGGTTTTATGTGGACCAGTTAGTAAAGGGCAGTGCATTCAGTCAAAGCTGCGCTTGGTGAAACCACAATCTTTCATTGACTGGAAAGGTCAACATTTTAATCAGTGAGGTGAAGTCCTCCATATCTCGCAAGGGAAAAACATAAGCTGTTCGAAGCCATGAAACAGACCATCAGTCTGAGGTCTTCCAATTTACTGAATGAAAGCAAACAAGGCCAGCAGGCACAAACAAAGCGCCGCATATCAGCAACTGTCCAGAGGGAGGAATGTATCTGTGCTCATGTGAGGCCGACTGAAACTTGTGCTGTTATATCTTAAAATCAGCAACGCTCTTCTCTTTCCCAATTTGTCCTGCCGATAGAAATTCATTCTTACTGGAAACTGGGTATAAACTGGATGTACTGTGTGATTTTTTTTAGAAATCCTATTCAACTGGATTTTACATTTCCAAGACGACAGCTCTCTGAATCTACACATTACAGCAACACGTCATGTTATAACACAGGAGCAAACACAAAACGCAGCACAGCAAAACCAAGTCAAATATAAGCTTGAGAGTGCAGCTCTGTGCAGGACGGTTTTCTGCATGCAGCTCCCGCCCGCTCCCACTGGATTTCTGACCATTCACCGCCCGCTCCCACAATGTGAGTCCACTCCCACCTACACCCACAGACATTCTGAGCAATCACGCCTGCACAATATAGAGAGATCACTGGTTTTGTGTCCTGCAGGGAAAATATGTTCTTTTAATGTGTAGTATGAATAAAGAGACATATTCTGCATTCAACAGAATTATAGTTATTGTAGTGCAGTAAGTACACGTTTCACATATATATCAATAGTATCCTGTTTAACCCTCTGAACTCCAAGCAGTTTAAGGGCGTTTTTCTTGCTCATGTCACATTTTCACTCACTGTGCGCTCATTTTTCACTACAGTTTTAAAAACCTGGGATCAATCAAGTGCCCACAGGTGGGACTACTTATGTTTTTGTTTCTATACTTGGCTTCTACCTACATCCTGCAGTTCAGCTGAAAAGTCTCTGAATCTTTTGTCGCATGGCTGTTGGCTGCATCTGAGTTAGTCAAAGTTTCAGAATCTGGTGGTTTACTTTTAACAAATGGCTTAAAGAAAACATAGGTTTGGTCAATTTTGCAGTGAAACTGAACGTTGGCTGAAGTGTCAGAAAGTTTAAAAAATCCCAGAATTTTTAAATCTTTCTTACACAACAGATTGTGGCTTTGATAAATAAAAAAAGTATTTTTGGTCATTTCAAAGACAGCATGTTTTTTTAAACCTTCCAGCAGGTTTTATGGTTCAGAGCATTCATATGTGCTGAAAGAAAAGCTTTATCTTTGAGGACGAGCTTTTTTGACCTGGCAGATCAGAGCCGGTAAGTTGCCTCGACCCAGCGATGTCAGATTTGCACCCCTGAATCATAACACTGTGCGGTTGTCAAAACTAACAAAGTCAGACTCTTTTCAGTGTTTGTCAGTACCAACATAGAAATCTGACCTCATGTCAGACTTGCCTTGCTTTGCTTTTGTAACTGTAAAATCCTCTTCAATCTTTTTTTCAACTCTATTTGTTGACCCCATTCGTGTGATTAGCTCTGATTCTGCAGTTTATTTTTGGAACACCAAAAACCGACAAGTTAAAACCATCAGTTCATGCAGGAGTTCCGTTGGGTTCCGTCCGACTCACAGGATTCAAGTCAACCCAATGCAGTCCTCTACTTGTGAGCACATGTATTATTCTGTGTTTATGACTCAGCTTGAAAACCTAATGGAAATTTTCAACCACTCTTCACGCTTCAGTCATTCATGTATCGACCACAGTAAATAGCTGCAAGACTTTTTAAAAGAGCATAGAGGGGGCACCAACTAAAACCACTGGGCGATGCTGTACAGATAAACATCGACTACGCCGAGTGTTGCTGTGGGAGTTCACTGCTCTGAACTGCCTTGTGAAATTCTTTTCTTGGATCTTGTGAAAACTTTTTTTTTTTTTAAGTTTATCATCGTTCAAAACAGATCTGAATAAAAAGCACTTTAAGTTTGGGAAACATCTTAAGGTATTATGTATTGGGAGTTGCAACCAACGTGCGTGCTGAAACTCCCCAACTGTCAGAGTTAATTTTTTAAATCCTGATGGGTGCTCTGAAGTTTGTGACGTCACCCTTTTCCCCTGCTGTGCCCCACCCTTCTGCAAACCAGAGAGAGGAGCAAAGGCAGAACAGCATGAAAATACCCCACTGTTCATAGTGAGAAGCTGAAAATATCTTTTTCAGGGTCTTTTAATCCATAGCTGATATGTATAATCTTTAAATGACACTTTGACATTTCAAACATTTGGAGAGTGTCCAGTCTGGAGACATTTGGGTCACCTCTGTGCTGTCTGCAGATGGTGATGTAATCATTTTGGCTTCAGCAACTCACTTCTGATGCACTTTTAAATGGTTTCCTGCCAAGTGTGACACCGTCATTGTTGAATTCCTTTAACAAACCTCTCATTTCAGAGCCAACTTTAAGTGACAGATGGCCACTGTTTATCACTACTTGCTGCATCTGAAAACAGTCATACATTTAAAGTCAAGTTTTCACTTTAAAGCATTTCTTTGAGAACTAGTCTCTCCCAGCAAAGCCAGGTCACACTGAAAACTGTTCACAGCTGGATCTGTGGATAATCCTGATTAGCAGCTTTTGGAAATACATTTCTAAAGTCATTTTTCAATGCTCTTAAATCCATAAATGAAATTCCACTGGCCTGTACTGAGAAGTCCTTGAGATCTCAAAGTCATGAGTAAATAAAAGCAGAAATTTCTCCAGAGCTGGTAATCTCTGAATATAAGAGGTAAAACATGGTTGTGATTCATATGAAATGACACTTTAGACCTATTAAGGAACATTAATTCCCATTACGAAGCAGCCACGTGTATCTAAAATGATAGATGGTGATAGGTTTGTGGGCATTAATGTGATAACGATTAACATAAATTGTTCCTCTCCCTCTGGGGTCGACCGCTACAAATACATTTTCAAGCTGTGGGAGGCAGTGAAAATAACGTGTGAAGAAGAGTGAGCTTCAGGAGGGAGGGGAACATGATGAAGTGATTTCATGGTTGTTTATTCAGCATTTGTTTTCTTAATGTCTTAGTGTCTGTCTTACATAGAGGCAGATTAGCAACAGTAAAGAGAAACCGGGCTGCATAGAAATACACAAGTGGTTTCATAAACACTGTGTCATACATTTTGTCATGTCTGTGCCAAGACTCTGAGTCATAATTTCATGGGAAATTAGGACACATGGACCAAGAAAAAAGGCAGCTGTTAAACTAACAACTTTTCAAACCTCCCACTAAACAAATACATGCTGTTGTGTGGTAGGAGTTTTGTCAATCTGGCTTTTAACCAGACTTGTATCAGCCTAAAATGAAAAACCATAAACAAAAAAAAAAAGAAATAAATGTACCTGTGAGGCCACCACCCAGGCTCCTTCTGCGAACATGTTTTCCATCCTCGCTGAGGTGTCGTTTAAGTTTGAGAGCAGGACTTAATCCATGAGTCAGCTCAGGGTTGCTGGACTTTCTGAGGTAAGTGGCTGGTGGGTAGAGGATGTTGTCCAACTAGGGAAAAAGGAAAAACATGGGTAAGATACACATTAAGAGTTGAAAGAAGCCACATTCCTCATATAAAACGTTTCTTCAAAAAGCATGTTATAGTATGTAGAGCCACTTTTTGTTTTTCCAGTGTTGTTAACGCTTGTGGACAAGGAAAAATGCTGTACATGCTATATAAGTTTAATCTGTTCACTGTTTCAGCTGTAGGCACATTCACTCACTTCTTTCTAGAAATTCAAACTATTATCATATATTGTCATATGTACGAGTTTTTAGACAAATGGATAACATCCATACTAAAAACATTTGTTTACAAGTGATCAGGAAAACTCACAAAGACATTTACAGGAGCTCATCTTGAAGGGGGCATGCACAGAAGCATGAGAAATATAAAGCTGCAAATTTAAAACATTCAGGCAACCCTTAGAGCAAAATTCCACTTCTCAAATGACCTAAGAAGGGGATTCCCAGGGCGTTCTCCAAATGATCTCAGCATAAGGAACAAAATGTAGCTGAATCTGAGTCAGTTCCACAGGCCAAGACTTTTGAGTGTGAATTAGACACAGGCTAGAGGACAGGTTAAGTAACAGGCCAGTACGAAGAGGGATTTTATTGTCACTGTCTGAGATGTAAAAACCACATTGGCTAATAATTCACATGGGATAAGTAAATAAAATCAAAATTAAAAGAAAACATACGGAACTGCCTAAATGAAGGACAATGATGGGTTAGAAATCCATTAGAAATGATTCACTGTACACCACAACACGCTATACCGGCCTATTGTATTCTAAGAAGATAATACCTTGCATAAAGCTCAGACCACATAACAAAGCTCAGTGTGAGGAAGAGGCCCTCCCTGAGAATACAAAGATATACATGGCTGAGAGCAGTCTGTGGAAAGGAAATGCCCTCTGCCTCTCGGTGGGATGATTCATGATCCCAGCACTATTAAGTATAACTAAACCCAGACCTGTGTAGGGTGGCTTGACCTTACAATGAATGCAGACATCCAGAGGAAGAGTGAAATAGTACAGACTCAGAACAAAAAGTACAAGTCAAGGAAAGGACTGCATCAGTCAGTCCGTACACGAGCAACACTGTTACAGCATGGCTTTAATATTACAGGAGATGTGTATTTGTTTGGCTTTTAAAGATTTAATGAAGGATAAGTGTCACTAATTGTATCTTTAATTTTAGAATAGCTGTTTTATCTGGTAAATAAAAAAGAAAAAAAATTGCAGATGCATTTTAACTTTCTTTTTATTGTCAAAAAATGTCATTTAAATAAAAATTGTAATGTCATGGCTATCTATGATTACAGATCATTATTTACAGCATACATGTAAATTCAGCCTGTTTTGATGATTTTATTGACATTTTACGCATTAAAAATACAAAAAAAAAAAACATTCAGATCTATAAAATAAAAATTATAAATGTAAAAACACAGATGTGTTGTTTTTTTTACAGTGAATAACGAGCATCACTCAAATGGTCAACTGATGCCTTTCAGTTCAATCATAAGCACAAACAAATACTGCAGTAACATCTCATGACCCTGATATGCCAGAGCTCTACAACAGCGATGTTCAATGTCTGAAACTTACTCTACATTCATGCCCAGGGCAGATCACTGTGCACATCTGCAACAGCGAGCCGCTAGCAGCACAGTGGAACATGCATTACTTCTCATCCCCATCTAAACACACATCAACTGTATTTACACTGTATGTGTACACTGAGGCGGTACATACAGTCCAGTTCATGGTCACATTGTATGTGGAACGGAGGGTTTAAATGCAACACATATATTAACGAAATACATTTGTTCTGTTATATAATCGCATGCTGTGCTCAAGGTACAAGAAAACAGAAAACTAACAAAGACTTTCCATCTGTGTAGATGTGCTCCAATATTGTCAGAAACCATGAGGGCACCAAAAAAACTTTTCAGTGAGAAGGAAGTGAAAAGGCCATTTTTAAATCGGTTGCTTCCTCTGTAGTAGACTTTTTTTAAAATACAGACAGCATTGCAAGATTCTCGTACAGCATAGAAAACTGGACACCATTGTAAGCTGTGCTGTTAGTCCCTGACATTGACCCTTATACATATTCACTACATGTCTACTGAAATGTTATATTTTTCCCTTTGTATGTGAAAAACAACAACAAACAGAAGCTCGACTAGAATAGGTTTACATGCTTTCATGTTCAAAAACACAGAATTTTTAAGCGCCTCCAGTTATCTTCTGTCTGAAACACTCTGTTATAGGTCTTCTCTCTTTAAGGCCGGCAGCCTAAAAAGCCCAGTCTGCTCTGACTGCAAGGCAGGGCCTAACCAGCCAAAAGGCAGCTGTTATGCAAATAGATTGATAGATAGAAGTTTATTGTAAATGTGTTACACGGTGACACTGATAAGGAATTGAGGAAAAGTCTGGTCTTCACACGAGACATTTCAGGCAGGTAAGGAGCAGTTGTTTCTGTGGGAGAGAATCAGGCCTGTTTACAAGTAGCAAAAACAGTGATATTTCAATGCGTTTGGGCCTTTGGTTTACACGTAAACTAAGCTACAAGTCACAGAAAACGATCATATCTGAAAACTCCAGCCACAGCGGAGATTTGGAAAAACTCCGTCTTCACGTTTGCATGTAGACAGGAGGAGACGGAGTTGGACATCACAGTATGCAACAAAAGCGTCATCAGTGTCATATGTGTGCGACCATGTTTACAGTTTGGCTACTGTCATAGAAATGGACGCTGTTAAAGCAGTGCCTGTTTCTATGTTTATGCAAATGCTTTTGGCCTGTTTGCATTTTAACACCACATTTAGGAGTAGGTACACTTCTCTGTCAGTCCAAACAAACCACCGTCCCACCATTATCGTTGAATTAACAGGAAGTAATTTGTGCCATTCGTTGTTGTGTTTTTTCCAGGATTCTGATTGGCTGGCATGGCTTAATGCTTCCCGTTAAACTGCCCCCTACAGGTTTGGCATGCTCATAGCAGCTCTTAACGGCGTGTTGATGCGGGTTTGTGTAAACAAAGATTTTTTTGAAAACAATCTGGTGTGAACAACGTTATTTTTAAAAACGTAGATCCATTTTTGTAAATACTCAGTTATGTGTAAAAATGGCCTCAGTCTCTTTGGCGTACGCAGTGGGCTTTTCAAGTTTGGAGACTTTTTACATAGATAAAAAAGCAGCTATAGAACTCACTGAAGGAAAGTGAAAATCCCTCCTGAACTAAAAAACATAACAAATAAAACACAAAACGACAATAATCACGACCTATATCAGGTCATGATGGGATGTACTTAGTCATCACCATAACATTCCTACTTGCAAAAACCCCACTCTGACTATGAGATTGAATTCATCGTGTAACAGCAATGCACTCTTTCTTGAATGCTGCACTGTATCTAGTTAAGCCCAATAAAAACAAACACCACCATACACCCACCACCTAATATCCAGCCAGTAAACACTGCTCAGGCAGAGATGAAGAGCTGTGATATCTTTTATTACAGATTCTCAGCTTGAATCTGAGTCTTCAGAAAAGAAACTTTAACTCCATAAATGTCTGCACTACATCGCAAAACATATGAACATTTAGGAATCATGTCGCTGCCTTGGCTGCCTCAGTGTTTATCTACAGGTGTAACTACATAACCATTTAATCCTCTGCGGTGCAAATGCTTTCATGTGATCTGTTTGCTGAAACCATTGGTTTCCTGTTATCCAAAGAGTGAGAGCAGACATTCAGTCATATGTAGGGCACAGGATTTGGTTGCACCTGGTTGGGTTATAAAACCTTTGTTAGGTTCTTAGAAAGTTCAAGCTATATCATACGAAAAACAAAAGAAATGCCTTAAGTGATGTGCAAATCATTTGCTAAGAAACCATCTGCTTCTCAATGGGAAGCACCGTGCAATCAAAAGCAATCAGCCCAAGCAAACAGGAACTATTAGTGTATACTGTGCAGAGTTTTTAGTTTTTTTAACATCTGGTGATTGCAAGTGGTTTTTTAGTGAATATCACAATGAGATACAACTATTTTAAGATTATATTTGGATAATTTCGCAGAAGAAACATCACATCACAGATGAGCAATTCAAGGACCGCCAGAAAGTTGAAAATTTGCCATTTTTTCTGTTTTTACAGTTTCTAGCTCTAATAAAAGCTGTAATTTTGGTAATTTATTCAAAGTTAACATGCCACTGAAACCAGTCAGCAGGAGTTGGGTTTTATTGATTTAAAATATTTGCTTTGTTTCAATTGATTTGAAGTTTGACTAACGCTCTTTTGCTTACATCATCTTCTTGAGAATTGTCTCCATTCACCACAATAGTGACGTTTCTAATTTTGTGAGAATTTTGTTCAAATTTAAGACACATTTGGATGGAAACCTGACAATCGAACTTAGCCAGCTGGCTCAGTTAGTTGTGTAACATTCCCACCCAGCAGTTTGTGTGTGGAAATACTTAATTAAACCTAATCTTTGTCGGAGCTCGGTTGTGCGATGCAACCGATGCTAATGTGTCAATCTCCAGTATTGTGTAAAACTCACGCGATGAGTAAGCAAAGCTCGACCTTCCAAACAGCTGGTGCAATGGTGTCCAGGTGTTTAAAGGCAAATATATTCAAGATTAATCACAAATGAAACAAGGAATAGACAGACAGTTATGTAATTTTAAAGCAAACAGATGATAACCAAACATCGTCTCTAAGCAGCTTAGAGTTCTGCTGTGAAACAATCAGCGGTGAACTCCTGCAGCACTTAGTCACATTATGAAGAGCCACAAGTATCTGAAAAGGTCAGGATGACTTTAATGTGATGATAAGTGGTGCATGTGCGATGACTTCATGGAAGCCCCTCACTCTAATGCATGACCATATGACTGCAGTGTTTCAACTTTCTACATCTAAAAGGAAGTCATTTTGTAGAAGTAGTATGTTTCTCAACACTTCTTAGCTTCCGGTGCTTTTCATCATCCTCTTTCCTTC